TTACTTATTTTGATGCAGTGTAAAAAACCAAAAAAGTCCAAAGGCACACAGGAGCTGGGGAAGGGAGGAATGTCTGATATGGTAATTAAATATTAATCAACTCCACAGTAAAAATTTTACTGAAGTCCATTGGTCTCTTACACGTACATATTAAACCACAGTTGGTAGGTGATACAATGGTTTGGCTGAGTATCCGGCAGGCTGTGAGCTATTCCTCTCTGTGGGGTCCTTTTGTGAGTAAGAAAACAACTGCCTTGTCCTCTCTACTCTCTTACCAAAGACTTCATTCTCTGACCTCACTGTAACTCTCTAAAGGGGCACATACTTTCTTGATATTACAAACATTTTTAAGACATACCAATCACAGAGCTGCACCCTGCAGTTAAAATCACCTCCTGACTGAAGGCAGCAGATACCTACGGTAGAAGTCGCACTTTTACTGCTTCTTTATGCTCAAGAAAAAGGAAACAACCAAAGCAGCTGGATTTGGCACATGCCATCAACTACATGTTATAAGAAAGAAGTTCATTCACACAATGCCACTTCATGAGCGACACGTTATCACAACGAAGGCAAAGCTGACAGCATATGCCCATTCGAGTCAGGAGGCACTGGGGAGAAGACCAGCGCAAACTCCACAAAGGTCTCCTGCCTTGAGGGTTCAGCGGTGGAACTGGCAGAAGGCACGGGAGAGTGCTGTGAAGCAGCTGTTGTATGATCCAGAGGCTGTGGAAAGCAGATGTCGGTATGGATAGATATCATGGCCTACAACAAACAGCCACATGCAGGACACCCTATTGCCAATCCTCTGCCTTCCCAACCTAAAGGATTTTCCTAAGTTTGTGGTGAACTTTAATTCAGTAAACTGTCCCAATCTAAGAGCTCTGCTGACACCACTAAGACAAAAACTTACTCAAAACATATAGGTTGATAGGCTCTGTTGCTACAGAGCAAAATTTGAAGACTAAGCTTTATGTCAGCCATTTTTTCCCTGTGAACTGAGATTTTTTGAAAATACTCTTCAACAAAAGTAAGGATTTTTTTTTTTTACCATATTCATGACTTAACAGCATACATCTGTCACTGGAAAAAGACAAAACTCAAGAGCACAATTTGATAAAGAGACACAGCTTTCAGTGAGAAGAATGTTTTTAAATCTCCAGCAACGTACTCGGCAATTATAGCAGGCAGAAGAAGTGGCATGTTGTATCCTGTGCAGCTGTTACTGCAAAGACTTACAGGTTGCTTTCTTGGGTGCAGACATTTCTTCCATCTAGATTGGCCATTAACTGCAGTAATAGACAGTGACAAAGACAAGCTTGCCAAGGCATTTTAGAGAGAGCTACAATTGCTCCAAATGATTGCTTTATTAGCTTTCATGTGCTTCTGTAGGGAAGTGAGAAGCAAAGCTGAAACCCCAGCCCTCTTTCTCCTTGTGAGATGCTCTAGCCAGGCAAATGTAAAACTTCTATGCAATCAGTTACTTCCATTCTAAAAATAAATTAATGTTGGCATGTGTGCCACACTGATAGCATCACACTTCCAGAACTAAAACAAACAGATTTCATAAGTCCGCTTACAAATTACTGCTAATTACGCTTGAGTACATCTTCCCAAAAAGCCAGATGATCTTGTCAGCTCCACAAAGTCACCAAAGACCTAATGCCATTCTTTGCAAGAATGGTGGTTTGCCAGAGTATCCTGGTTAGATCTTCCTTGGGCAGTTTGGTGGGACACAAGGAAATACAGACAACCACCCTTCTGCTGATACTGCACTGATGCGGTAATAGTGCTTTATGCAGCAAATAGGGGAGGTGACAGTAGAAGACAAAGTAGTAATGATTCATGTGTTGTGGGCATTATAAGAAAGGTCTTTTCAGAAAGAACCCAAAAGGCAAAATTCATCTCTAGGCAAAGGGCCAGCACAAAGCAAAGGACCTCAAAACTAGCTCAATGTTGTGCTTAAGTAATTGATGGGCTCCATGCCAGCATTGCAGGTAAAGATGAATTTCACAATCAAGCCAAGGAAGGAACATTTAAGAGAGCCAAATGTGAACAAAAAAGAACCAACAGGTCAGCAACATGCACAGCAAAGCAAAGGAGAGGCAGGATGCAAGGAGACTAGGTCAGGTTGGGAGGGAAGGACAATAATATAGAAGTCAGAGTATTTTATTGCCTGGTAATTGAAGAGACAATGAACAAACTGTAAGAGGCAAAGCACTGGGAGCAGTGGGGTTTTTTTTGTACAATTGAGTTGGTTCATTTTTCTAAAGGGAGTACCTCATGAAAGTAAAAGTCATAAGACCAACTAATGAGCATTTCCCACCCAAGATGGCAAAAACAGCTGTCCCAAATCAGGGATCTTAACTATTCAGAAATAGACTAACCAACCAACCTTGAATGATTCTGTTCATTTGAAAAGCACCAAAATGCAGTTTCCCTTTTAAAAATGTATTATTATATTTGGATGTTTGAAAGACATACTGTATCAAAATGTCTTATCCAGCTATCCAAAGTTATGCATTGACTTTGCATTAGTTTAGGTTTTGAAAGTCAAAAACAATATTTCAAATGTGGTGCTATGCGGGTGGCATATTCCATTCTTCAAAACAGGAACGTCTGTAGTATTTACTGTTTCTGATGCTCTCCCAGCAAGGGAGCACATGTTTCTGCGACAGAACTGCACCCCTCACGACTGCTGCTGCACTGGGGCTCACTCACCATGCTGATCAACCTTCCAGACTAGGTATCTTGGGGATGGTCTTAAGCACACTTTGTTATTTGAAAGAATGCACATCTCTGCTGTAGCATTAGCACAGCAAGACACCACTGCCTACAAAATGAACTTTCTCTCCAGACAAAGCAGCTTTTTGAAGGTAAGATCTTTCTATCATATTTGTAAGAGAATTTATTATGCTTTTCTTTTTTCACCAGCTTCCTAAATGCTTCTTTGCAATTATGCCATCAAGAAAACCAAGACAAACTAAAAAGTATTATCTACTTTGGTACTGTAGTGAAGCTCTGAAAGAAGTGTCTCCCTGCAGATCTTGGGGTCTGGATTTTATTCCTTGTAAACCCAGATTTCCACCGCAAGCGGACCCAGAAACCTCACGTGTTTGATGAACAGCAAAAAGCCTGTACTTTATTTTAGTTACACAATGTTACTAGGGAGATGGTGTAAATATGAATACCATCACAATCATAATTTTGTCAATTTACATGCATTCCCATTTGAAAGACCTGAGTATATGAAGCAGAACACTGGAATGACTATAGCATAAAATGATGCAAGACTCATTTACAACACTGTGTGAAAATGAGTAATTAAAAATACATTCACAATTACATAACGAAGAAGTTCTCTTTGTAAAAATTAAACATGCTGAAAGTTACTATTACAACAAAATTACACAACCGATCCTTGTTAAGCAAGCAATGGTATACCTTGTTCAAACAACCATGCTATGTCAGTCAGCCCTCCTCAAACTGCAGTGGTATGCTGAAC